GAACTTGAGGGCATTATGCTAAGTGAAGTAAGTCAGAGAAAGACAGATACTATATGATCTTAATTATATGTGGAATCTAAAAAAAAAAACCTCCTGGAGAGAACACAATGGTGGTTGCCAGAGGAGGAGAGTAAGGAGTGAGCAAAATGGGTAAAGGTGATCCAAAGGTAAAACTTCCAGTTATAAGGTTAAAAAGTCCTGGAGATGTAATACACAGCATGGTGACTATAATTAACAATATTTTACTATATATCTGAAAGCTATGGAAGTAGTCCTTAAAAGTTTTTATCACAAGTTTAACTATGTACAGGGATGGATATTAACTAAACTTTTTGGGGGGCATTCATTTCACAATATGTACATATGTCAAAGTGTTATAAACAAGTACAATATTGTATTTCAAGTATATCTCAATAAAAAACAATGACAAAAATGTTACTGCATATAATAAGTAATATATAACAGTCTCAATGAATAGGAAAAAAATTTAATGCTCTCAAAGTGTTGACTGGCACAAGATAACTGGAGACAAAATTAGAGGTCATATATCTTTCAACAGATAACTGAGTAAAAAAAGTAGTCATTTTCAGCACAAGAGAAATAGGTTAATTTTTAGGTTTATGTAGTTTTTAAAGAACTGGGCCTCTTTTTGAAATGTGTATTCAACAGACTAAAACTAATTCAGGAAGGAATTCATCCACCAGAGGGGGCCCTTACAAAACAGGAGAAATGAATTGTTAACAGCAATCAATAGTATACAAATTGAAGGTTAGAATACATCTTACAAAGTAAAGTCCTTTAAGTCTATAAATTCCATATACTCACATGTAAAAGTTTGACTGTTATTCTTCTGACAAACACAAAATTTTCATCATTGCGTTGGGCTACAAGACTCATTTGTTGATGTGTCCATAAGCTGAACAAACATACCAAGGTCTGTTCAGAAAATATCCAGTCACATATGGACACATTTAGTGAAGAAGATACAAGAAACACTATACATAGACTAATGACACCTTAGTCCCCTTCAAAGTAAGCACTGTGGGACCTACTCTGGCTTCACTGGTAGCACCTATAGCACAATGTTCCTTCTGCTCTGGTAGCAGAAGCCATAGAACAGATTTTGCCATGACACATTTCATGCTAAGATCCTGCATCCAAATCTCGGACACAGTGGTTTTTGGAATCCCCAGTTCAGCTTCTAGTTCTCCCACTGTCAGTCCCAATCTTTGCTGATTGCAGCCCGTACACATTCAACATTCTCAGGTGTTCTGCTTGTTGCAGACCTTCCAGAATGTGGATCATTTTCAGCAGATTCTTGACCATCTTTAAAGCATTTGTGCCACATTTTTATTTGTGCTGTACTCATTGCACTATCTGAAAGCCTTCTGAATTATCCGAATAGTTTCTGTGGAGGAATGTTCAAGCTTAATACAAAAATTGATGCAGGTTCATTGCTCTACTCACTCAGTCATTTAAAATGTGATGGCCACACAGTGCACATGCTCACTCAAAAGGATCTGCCACCCCCACTGACTAGTACAGTGAACTCATCATCGTTCACTCATGCATATTCCAGTCCACTCTCTTTGGCTACAATGTTATGTTGATGTTGTGCAAACCATTCTTGCAATTTTAACAATGGTTGGACTTTTTCCAGACAGACCTATGTGAAAGAGCTATTAACTAGTCACGCACAATAAGTCAATTAGAGAAGTAATATTTATCCTTTCACTCAACCCCCCAAAACCCCCCACCCTGCTTTTTTTAAGTTAGTTCTAGAACCAGTTTTTATGAAAGTGTCAACAGACACACTGAAACAGTCACCTAATTCTGGGTCTAGTGATTCTAGGAAAGCCCATGCCACCACTATTCTTGGACTCTCTCTCACCACTTAGCTATAGAAATTTTCTACATTTATCAGTATATCTTGAGGCCAGTATATTTAAATTTCTAAAGAAACATTATGCATTATTAGCTACCTATTAATCAAGACTATATTAATTTCTAAAAATAACATTTATTAAGTACTCAATAGGTATAACATTATCTCATGTAAACATAACAACCCATTGAGGTACGTATTATTACTATCCCTCACTTTACAGATGAAGGCATTAGGGCTTGAAGGTCTCAATGCTAGTAAAGAGTGAACTACAAAACTACAAAGCTAAGTACTGTGCTGTGTCACAAATAAGAAAATTGAAATTTTTATTGAAGTAATTGTAGATTCACATAGAGTTGTTTAAAAAAATACATGGAGATCTCTTGTATATTTGCCTGGCTTCCTGTAACATTTCACAAGACTGCAATATAATGTTGCAAACAAAATACTGACAGTATACCAATCTTGTTCAGATTTCCATCTAAGGCATTTTTAATGAGGCATACACCTTTGCTTTTATTTATGAACACTTCTAAATGCTCTATATAAAATTCAATTTGTTCCCCAATTGTTTCACTTCTCTTAACTGGTCTTCATTTATAATTTAATCTCTTTTGAAGAAATTTTAGGGTTTCTCACTGTTTTGTGGTTATGTATCTTGACATCCTATTCTCTCTATATATATGTAAACTTTACTCAGTTCTATTCTAATTGCTCCAAATCATGAGCCTTGGAGTCAAAAATCCTGGCAGAACCCCAGCTCTGCCATGTACTAGTTTAGGCAAATCATTTAACCTCTCAACATTTCCCTCATCTGAAAAGTAGGAATAACAGTACCTACCTTCAAAGAGTTGTTGAAGATCAAAGTTTGCCTGCCAAGTGGTTAGCAGCACAGTACATGGCACAAAGTTAAGTGCTCACTAAACTTTAACCATAATTTACTATTCCCTCACTAAGACTTTTCAAAGAGCAAATCCATCCACTCCAATCCCCTTAATATGCTAAATTTACTATTATATGCCCATTGTTCATTCACTCAATAAAAATGCACTGTTTACACACAACAGATGACTCAAATATAAAACTTTTCTTCACAAGTACACAATTATTAAAATTTAAGATAGATAGCAACAATGCCAAAAAAGAAAAAAGTACTTTTGAAAGTTCTCTGGCACTTATGATGGTGGAAGTAACACCTGACCTGACTTTTAAAGAATGTATCCATTAGACAAATAAATGGGAAGACATGGGGTTGGAAAGGTGTGGCATATAACATTTTCTGGTGTGAGGACATGAGGGCAACTAAGGTACCAAGAGACAAGGAGGGGCTTGTATAGGAAACAGTAAACAGTACAGGCTGGCTGCACTGAAGGGTATCTGTAAAAGGAACAACAGGAAATAAAACTAAAGACTAGTCAAGGCCTGATCCTGAAAGGCTTTGAATCCAAGTCCAGAGTTTAAATTTCTTTCTGTCCACAAGGAAAAGTCAAAGATTTATGAGTAGTACAATTATGAGTTCATAACTGTATAGTCAAAACATGAATGTGCTATAACATGTAAAATAGTCTGCTGTGCTGGTACTCAGAAACCGGCTGCTGCAATTAATCAAGTTGGTAGAGACAGCATGGAAAGGTCTGAAGGGATTCAATTACTAACATAATTGAATTCACTGTGATTTGAAACTTAATGAGTGGGAAGAAGAAAGCCAAGATGATTCACGTTTGAAGTTCTAGTTCTGTGAACTGCACTGAAGAAAAATGGTTCCTAGACTTCTCCACAAATCACTCATCTATTTTCCTGAATTCCAAACTGTAACTTCTTTACTGGTCTGAATTGTTTTTACCTGTGAAACAAATTATCTTGCAGAACATGGTACAGTAACTAATAAACAGAAATCTGCAATACTATAAGAACGATGAGCAGGGGAAGGGAATGAGTTACTTACTACATCTGACATATCACACATGCTTATTAAAATAAGATTCAGAATACTGGTAAACATTTGTTCATAAAATAGGAACAAGATTCCTGTACGTATTTGTTCACTGGTATATCCCCAGTGTCTAAAAACAGTGCCAGGAATACTGTTAGTTCTCAATTAATGTATTTGTTGAATATCTTTTCATGAAGATGGCACCCAAAGCAAAGAAGCCCTTGACCCCCAAAGCTGAAGCCAAGGCAAAGAAATCAGTGCTAAAAGGCATCCACAGCCTCAAAAAGAAGACCTGCATGTCACCCACCTTCGGGAGGCCTAAGACACTGTGGCTCCAAAGGCAGCCTAAATATCCTCAGAAGAGCACCCCCAGGAAAAATAAGCCTGACCACTATACTATCATCAAGCCCCCTGACTACCTCACCAGCCATGAAAAAAACAGAAGGCCACAATACAGTTGTGTTCACTGTGGATGTCAAGGACAACAAGCACCAGGTCAAACAGGCTGTGAAGAAGCTCTGTGACACTGATGTGGCCAAGGCCGATGCCTGATCAGGTCTGATGGGGAGAAGGCAGCCTGTGTTCGGCTGGCTCCAGACTATGGTGCTCTGGATGTTGCCAACAAAACTGGGATCATCTAAACTGAGTCCAGCTGGCTAGTTTTAAATATAAAAATTTTACACTATAAATATATACATATATTTGTTGAATACTATGTGAATGAGAAAAGAAAAAAGGTATTACATTTTTTTTGAGCAGTGGTTACAGTTTATTTTACTTTTTAAAAAAATTATTTTATTATTGTTCAAAGGTATTAAATTTTAAGAAACATCCTTCATTAGCCTCAATGCTGAGCACTCAATATTCTCTCCTAAGCTTTTTCTCATTAAAATGGCCTTCTGTTGCTAACTTACCTTCAAAAATATAAACTGCAATGTATTCATTTAGTAAAGGTTATAATAACCATTTTAAGTAACACTAAATTAACCACGAAAGTTTACAACAAAAATCTTAAATATCATGAGACACAAAGAGACACAAAGTAAATAATACCTGAGATTTTAAACAAATTTTTAGGTATCTCCTAAGTTCCATTTTGTAGTTTTGGAATTCAAAGGCAAACACATTTAGTTGCTGGATGGGAAATGTGAATATATTTCTTTGCGGTGTTTATCATCTTACCAGGTCTTTCTTTCCCAGTGCCTTTTGACTCAGCAAATTTTTGTATCAAGCTTTCAACTGTCGTGTTAGCCATGTTATTTATAAATTCTTCATGGACCTATTAATACGAGATAAAGATAAATTCTTTCTTTTTCCATAAATACTTACTGTATATAAGACAAAATTTCCACAAAGCAATTAAAATTCGTTACACCAAAATATGTATTTTTTGACCCAGAGCCTTTGAGAACTTTCATGTATGTAACATGCTCTATTACCTAACTTACAGTGTTAGTAGATCTGTGGGTACCAACCACTATTTATTTACATGAACTCCTTAAGATATGGCTTCACAACCTTAAAAGTAAATGCAGTTCCATGTTCTCCTCCTGGAATGTTTTAGAACATAATTCTTTTTTTTTTTAATCACTTTGAATATTTCTTGCTTCTTGAATATTTCTTCACTTGAATATATCACTTTGAATATGCCCTTCTTAGGACATAATTCTTATGATAAATAAAAATTAAACAGGCAATTAAAACTCTTTTAGATCTTTAATTAAAAAAATAACAGACTTCATCTTTACTAATTTCAATAAATCGCAAATTGTGATCAAACACTTATGGAAAATGCCTAAGTACAAATTCTGTTAACTTACTGAAGATGTTCTAATTTTTGAAATAGTAAAACTTTTAAAATTAAATATTTAAAAATTGATAACTTCATAGTTTTAATGTAAAGAGGACTAAACAGTTAATTTAAAAAATTAATTTGAATTATCATCCTTGGTAGCCACTCAAAAATCCAATTTATTTTATATTTAATATATGTGAATATGTATTTTTTTGCCTGAAATAATTCAGTAGCATGTTATGAGTTTTGGATTCTTAAAGAGCCATAAATAACCTAAAATTTTCAAGAATCAGTTCAACAGAAATAAAAACTTACCTGGCCTATTTGCAAATGAATTTCCTTTATAGCATTTGACAAGGATCCTATAATTTCCTTTATGTGAATGAGATGAGTTTCTTCAATGTCTTGAAATTTCTGAGTAGCAAATATAAAGTTATATATATAAAATATATATCTACACATATATACATATATGCTGAAATCAAAAGACCTTTTAGAAGTTATCTCAATACAGCTGACCAAATTTAGCCAGCTACCCATTATTACATAATTTTAGCCATGCTTCTAGACAAATGAGTTTAGTAAACACACTGAAATACAGCATGGAGAAAAGATAACTTTTTGTCATGTCATTTCTCAGGCAAGCATCAACTTTTCAGAGTTTGAAGATAATGCAAATTAAAACCTATAATCATGGTCAGAAAATAAAGAGACTCAGAAGATAAGAGTATCATAAAAGCCAAGGTAGAAGTGTTTCAAAAACTGAAAATCAATTAGTCACCAGAGCAAAACTGCAGTTTACTTCTGAAGACTTTAAAATCTAACCCATAGACTCTTAAAATGTCTTTCTAATCCTTGAAATGTTAACATGTAGTCTTCAAAAGAGATATTCTGTGGTCAAATAAATTCCGGGAGCCTGTAAACTCACTGAGCAGCTTCCATCTGAAGGTGGGGATGCATAAAGATCACCTGGGGAATGTTTTTAAACTACAAAACAGATCTTCCACTACAACCTGGGGGGTGGGAGTGGAAAGAGGTGAGAAAGTTGGAAAAAATTCCCAGATTATTCTGGTATTTATTCCCCAGTAAGAAAACCACTGCTAGACTTGGCCTTACAATAAATGTTAAAAACTCTGAAAATTACTAAAATAACAGAACTTGTTTTACTGTGTTTAAGCCCATGTTTTCCAAAATTCTCTGACCAAACAACTCTTTTTGTTTTCCTTTGTCTATGAATATCTATTAACATCTCACAGAACAATATTTCTCAAAACAGGATTTGAGAAATGCTGAACTAGCCATTTTCTTTCTTTCTTTTTTTCTTTTAGATTTTATTTATTTGTTTTTAGACAGAGGGGAAGGGAGAAAGGGACAGAAACATCAATGTGTGGTTGCCTCTCGGGCACCCCCCACTGGGAAACTGGCCCACAACCCAGGCATGTCCCCTGACTGGGGATTGAACCAGTGACCTTTTGGTTCATAGGCCAGCGCTCAATCCACTGAGCCACAGAGCCAGAGCAGCTGTTTTCAAACAAAATACATTTGCCATTTCTATTGCACAAGCCTGATTACCCTCCCCAATCCCCCAAATTAAATCAGTTCTAAGGAATAGGCCTAAATGTCTTGTTATTTTTCTCTGGTTAGTTTATCAAATTAAACTCCCTCACCCTGTATTTAATGTCCAGTTTTCTTCAGTACTGAGTTCCACAATCAAAAAATCACTAAGCCAAATGATCATGCTCATACTTGTGTTAAGACCCTGAACTTTAAAAAAAAATAAATAATGGTGCAATTACAGTTTTGACAGTAATGCTACAATAACCCAAACACTTTAATCAATTTTATTCATGAGGAATAGCAGACTTAAAATAGAATTCTTGTCTTGACTAATTTTGACCAAGTAAATGAGAATACCAACAATGCAAGATCCTGAATTAGTCTTAAGAACTCGGGAATATTCAGCAGAAGCATGATTCTATTTTATGTTCATATTATAAGAAGTCACCCTCAGCTTAAATTTATGTAATGTAATGAACAAAATATTGCATCGCAGACAGGTAGACCTAAATCTAGGAATGCGTGGTCAAAATGCCACTAATTGTATATGGATGACTCCTAATTCCAAGAAAACTCTGCTGGCCTTCTCATTCTCTTTTGAAACAGACACAATGAATAAAGCAGATCCCTAATTATTTAGAAAAATCTTGAGTATGAAGCCACACACAAATTCAACACACGATTCAGATGCAATTCTAAAATTGTGCTGAGTTGCTTTTGGTGAGGAGATGCTGCTAAATATCACAGTTCCTCAGTTAGTAAAGCAATTCTACAATGGGAATATACTTTTTTTTAATTATTTTTTTAAATTTTTTTAAAGATTTTATTTATTTTTAGAGAGGGAAGGGAGGGAGATAGAGAGAAAAAGAGAGAGAAACATCAATGTGCGGTTGCTGGGGGTTCTGGCCTGCAACCCAGGAATGTACCCTGGCTGGGAATCGAACCTGGGACACTTTGGTTCCCAGCCCACGCTCAATCCACTGAGCTACGCCAGCCAGGGCGAAAGTTCTTTTATATATATTCAAACAAGTTCTTTTATATATATTCAAACATTTAAGAGTATATTCTGCCCTGGCTGGCGTAGCTCAGTGGATTGAGCGTGGGCTGGGAACCAAAGTGTCCCAGGTTCGATTCCCAGCCAGGGTACATTCCTGGGTTGCAGGCCAGAACCCCCAGCAACCGCACATTGATGTTTCTCTCTCTCTCTCTCTCTCTCTCTCTCTCTCTCTCTCTCTCTCTCTCTCTCTCTCCCCCTCTCTACCTTCCCTCCCTAAAAATAAATAAATAAAAAAAAATTTAAAAAAAATATTAAAAAAAAAAAAAAGAACTTTCCTGAACAAATGAGATAGATTTTTCCTCCTTGGTAGTTCAGATTCACTGTTTGTATGTACTGTTTACATAAGTATATAAAAAGTACAATTCTTTATGCCACCGAAGATATATATAAAAGCACTCTAGTCCTAAATCCTTGCTTAAACAAATCTCAGTCTCCTAGCCATCAAACTATTTAAAGTAAACAAAACTCCATATTGTTTGAAGTTTTTTAAGTGTCTTTGACAGTGATAAAAATCATAAACACAAAGACAAGTCACAATTTTAATCATGCTTATTGTTAACCACAAATAAAAAAAATAAATCACAAATATTACAAGTACTTTCTAAACCGCTTTCACCCCAGGGACTCAATCTCCTTCCCCACTAGCAAATATAGGTTCCGCCACCCAAATCTGATTCTCATTAGACTGACAGGTCCCTTCCCACTGGGGTTAGATCAACCTGCTCAGCTTGGAACAAAAGGAAAGTGGAGATGTACAATAATTCTTTTCACTTCTAAACAACACAAGTTAAAGACAACTGTCTATTAACAAACAATAGTTAATCTGTTCTGCCAGGGTGTGTGTGTGTGGGGGGGGGGATGGAGATTAAGAGAGAGAGAACAAACACATTAGCACAGTATACCATCATCTTTATTCAAAAGCAGTATGGTTAATTATACATGTGATCAAATAAACTAATGTTCCCATCTTGGATACTGCAAGATAAACTAAACACCAATTTGGAAAACAAATGTAATAAGGAAGCAGAAGAGAAAGATAAGAAGAGGAAAAAAATGAATGCTTAAAATTCTTGAATACTTTTATAAAGTAATATAAACAAAAACCCCAAGTCTAGCAAATTCTAATTCCTGTTTCTCCAAAATAAATTGAAAGGAAAAATATTTTCATTAATAGAAACTAGTCATTTTGATGCAAAATTAACAAGTCAACAATTGCCTTATAAATGAGTGTTCTAATGATTTAAAAAACAAAAGGACACCTGCCAAAGTCTACAATGATCTTAACTTTTTATCTCACTAGAGTTGGAGCCTCAATTTGACACATCTAACTAACTATAAACCCTTCTCAAAATACTATCATTTCTCAGTTGCCATGTCATTACATTTCCCGGTTTTCTTCCTTCTTTGGCTTCTCCTACTTGGGTTTTAGCATCTCTTCTTCTATCAACCCATCAATGGTGAAACTCTGATTCTTGTGGCCCTTTCTTCCTCACACTCTGTCCAAAGGTGATGTCATTCTGGCGGCTTTGTGTCCTGGCAAACCCCTAATTTGTACAGACCCACAATACTTTATTCAAAACCTTTGGGGCCAGGTGTTTTGGAATTCAATATTTTGGATTTTTAAATGAAGACAATATAGTATTATTACCATATATTTCATAATACTACCAGCAGGATCTGCAGTGGTATCTATTTACCCAAAACATTAATATTTCTAAAGGAAAACATATATTTAGTCTAAGTAATATAAATAAAGACTATAGTCTCACATCAGTTTAAGTCAAGTGTTGCTGCAAAATGAGTTACAGAAAAAAGCTTTTGGTTTTTGGGGTTTCTGGAATCTAGAACTGTGGGTAAGGGACTGTGAACATTATGTCAGTCCAGCCTACTTAGATCCTCCAGAACTTCCCATTTGTTGTCTCTACTTCAGTACAGGCTATTCAAAACTGAACATCTGGTCCCAATCTGACCCCTCACACTAACAGTTCTTCATTTAGTCTTCCCCATTCATCTCTATCCATATAGACTTAGAAGCCAGAACCTAGAAGAGCTCTTGATCTCTCTAAAATTCTTCCATCCACTCCACTACTGCCATCTCCAAATGCAGCCACATCTCTCCCTCTCCAAGGCTGCCACACTGGCCCTCATCCTTCTCACTTCCCTACTAACTGCCTTCCAAAATGGACTCTTGACTCCTCTTTGGCCTCAGTATAACCTATTCTTCACAAAACTACCAGAATCATCTTGTAAAATGCAGGCCAGATCATATTATATGCTTGCATACCATCTTCCAGGATCTTCAAACTACTCTTAGAAGAAAATTCAAACTCTTACTAAAGGTTGGTTCTTGTCTATCTTTTCTTTAACCTCATACTTTACCATTATCTTTCTTTACTTTGTTACTAAGCATTTTTTACTTTATTTAATGTGACAGCTCTTTTACATCTCTGAGTCTTCATACCTATGGTCCCCAATGCCTGGAATACTCTGGCCCTGGAATGAATCTCTGGCTCATTCTCTAAGCCTCAAGTTTAAATGTCACTTCTCCAAAAATGCCTTTCCTAGCTCCCTAATCTAAATTAGGTCACTCCTAGTATTCTAGCTCATAGAAGCCTATTCTTTCCCCTTGCAATGCTGTAATAATTTATAGCTTTATATTTAGGCATGTATTTAATGTTTACCTCCTTCCTCTATACTCCTAAAGCAGGGAGATATTTGTTTTATTTACACAAACACAGTATACACCCAGCATTTAGCATGGTGCCCACAACATGGTTAGTAAAGATGAATCCATGTATGCCTATACACAAGCATGCAAGCCTTTTGGTTTGTGAGATATGAATCCTTCACCACTACCAGGGAGAAGGGTCTTTAGAGTCCAAACTGTCAGATTCATAACTTCTGCTTTCACACTTACTGAGTACCTACCAAGAACTGAGAATCGTTTTTAAGTGCTGAGAATATAGTAGTAAATAAATCACTCCCTGCTTTCCTGGAACTTACATGTTTATGGAGGAAGTCAGATAATGAAAAATATGGGTAATACTGGCTGGTGTGGCTCAGCTGGTTGGAGCATCATCCCATAAATCGAAAGGTTACAGGTTCAATTCCCAGTCAGGGCACATGCCTACATTGTGGGTTCTGTCCCTGGTAGGTACGTATATGAAGGGCAACCAAACAATGTTTCTCTCTTCCATCAATGTCTTTTCCTCTCTTTTTCTCTCCCCTTCTCTTTAAAAAATCAATAAACATGCCCTCAGATGAGGATTTAAAAAAAATGGGTAAAAGAACCAGTGTGTTTTACCATGTTTCTAGCCCCCTCAGACATGATGATTAAGAATAATGTTCTACGAAGAGGTTCCTCCACCAGCCTCAGTACCAGAGTGAAGCTGATGCAGCTGACCCATGATGGACAAATAGCATTAACACATAAACCCTTGGTACTGAAAGCCACTGAGAGCTGAGGGGTTCTTTTTCACCTCAGCATAACCAACCTATCATGACTAATACAATAAAATTCATGGTATGTTAGATAATGAAAAGGTGCTCCGAGGAAAAAAACAAGAAGACGAGGGTGGAGGTAAAGTTTTAGAAATGATTCATAAAATGCATCCACCTTAAACTTAGGCCCTTAATTAAAGGTTCTAAGAACATCAAATCCAATATAATTATCCCAAGCTTATGGAAGACAGATTTTTTTTATTGTTACTGCCTTCTCTCACTAAAATGGAAATTCTATTAAAGTAGTGAGTTTTGATTGTCTTGTTAACTGCTGTATTCTCAACATGGAGTCATTTTGAGTTTTCATCTTAACATTTGTCAATGTCCTCATTTTCCCCAACTCTCTTTAAACAATTTCTGATCTATCTGAATGATCCACTATAATTATTGCATCTTGGCTTTCATCTCCAAAATATGTATTTTTAAAATAGCATTATTAAAACATTGAGATTGTGTATTGTTAACACTTAAAAATGTTTAAATATTATAACAAAAATTATATTTGACCAGTAAACATAAATATCCTTTTGTAGATTTAAAGCCTTTTAAAATACCAACCTGAGCTGTTTCTGTCATTTTCTGTTCAAAATCAGCTTTTGCTAATGCATATTTTTCCACATAGAGTTTATAGGTATCTGTAGCTTTCTTAGATTTAACAGCTGCCTGTAACAAAACAAAAACATTTTGAACTACAAAATGACCTTTCTCCTTTTGATGTAAGTTAATATGAAATAACAATTTAATGCATTTTAAGGGATGTGGACTATGCTGAGATCAATATGACATAAAGTGATTATAGTATCTTTTTTCAAGTCCTCCTTAGTAATATTTTTTGTTGTAGTCACACAATAATGCAGAAATTAAATGCTGACCCAATAGAATGTGTTTTTGAAAAGTTAAATTCTCCTCGTTCTATAACCCAAACTGAGATCATATAACCAGATTATGATACAGTATAACTAAAATTTCAATGAACAAAAATGTGACACCACCATCAAAATATGCCTGACACTACTTTCTACATGTGTAAGTCTTCTTCCCTCAGCAACACACATGTGGTTCCATGGAAAGTCTGATTAATAACTATAAAGCTAGCTCAAAAGTTGAAAATACCAGTTTTCCTTGATGTCTGTTTCCATTATGCTCCAGCAAATCTATAAATTTCATTTTAGTCACAACCTATTTTTTCAAGATTTCTATTTTTTTAATTGTTACTACATTATTACAGTTGTAGTTCAAAGTTACTTATTCAGTAAGAACTTAGCATATTAAATATCAAGCAGTGAAGAAAATGAAGATAAACTATGCAGAAATCTTTTCCTCAATGACTTCATAAAAGACAATTCATTTCTACATGAACACCTAGAAATAGGTAGAAAGTAACAAAGAGACAGAAGTAAATATATTCTGTGGAAGACATTCAGGAAAGGGAAAAACTGAGTGTAACTTATAAACTGGCTAACAAGAAACTTGACCATTCTCAGAAGACTGATCAATTTGGACAAAGGAAGTTTGAAGAGGGAGAGTTGAAGAGTTTAAAGAAGATCTTTTAAAAAGCTACAGGATTTCCAGATTACAAAGATCTCTGTTTTCTTGACGAAGTAAAAGAAATTTTACTCTAAATTTTACATTCATTTTACTCTGCTAAAAGTAAAAGTAAAGGGCGGAAGTAATTTTAGGACTGTATAACTGGAACTACTCCTTAACTGTTAAAGAGCTGAAATTATATTCAGTCCTTTGAAGGCAACTATGAGGCTGATGTGACCCCCAGTGAAAATGAGTTTGACACCTCTGCTCTAGACTATAAATAATTATTTCACAATACTATTCATGATAATTAAAATTATAGGATTTGAAGTGATGGGAGGAAGTTCCTGAAGCATCACTTCCTCTTCCTCTACTCAGTCACTAGAATTCAAACTAGTTTTGATATTCAAATCTTTACTGAGTCAAGAGGGGCAGAAATATTCATTTTAAAATTTTATACTTAATCTTAGCGAAAAGGCCAAGAAATTAATTAATTAAAAAAATTTAAACCAACATATTTTATAACTTTTCCCCCCACAACATTCTTGTCACAATCTTGGTCCAACTATTCAACTCCTCATACAAACTTATTTATTCACTATTTCTGACTGTGAAATTACTGTCTTCATCTCAGAGGGTAAGAGCTAGATTTAACCCAGAATTGTAAACAGGTAAATCTTTTGGAACATACTTTTTGATAACAGGAAACTGTAAATTTTCTTTTTATCTTATTTGGAAGGATGAAGAAAAGTTACCCTTTTTAAATTCTAACTTACATTCTTTACATCAGCTGTCACTCTTTCAAGGTAAATATATTCCAGAGTATTAAGGAAATTACATACCAACTTAAGCATCTTGGAAGTGACAAAAGTAGTACTTGCTAATAGAAAAATAAAATTAAAACATTTTTGTTGACTTATGAGGTGTTTTAAATGATAAAAACATTTAAAGAAAATTAAGGTTATATAAAAGTAAGTAGAGGTAATTTAGAAAGTAATTGTACTGGAAAAATCTACATGTTTTAAAGTTGTATTTTATTGATTATGCTATTACAGTTGTCCTGATATCCCCACTTTGCACCCCCCCCCCCCGCCACTGAACACTCCCACCCCCTTCAGGCAATCCACACACCATTGTTCATGTCCATGGGTCATGAATTAAGTTCTTTGGTTACTCTATTTCCTATACTGTACCTTCCATCCCCTGGCTATTCTGTAACTACCTATTTGTACTTCTTAATACTCTCACCTCTTCACCCATTCCTTCACACCCCACTCTAATCTGGCAACCATAAAAATGCTCTCCATGTCCATGATTCTGTCTCTGTTCTTGTTTGCTTAGTTTGTTCTTTTAGATTCAATTGTTGATAGGTACGTATTTATTGCCATTTTACTGTTCATAGTTTTGATCTTTTTCTTAAATAAGTCCCCTTAACATATCATATAATAATGGTTTGGTGATGGTGAACTGCTTCAGTTTTTTCTCGTCTGGGAAGCTCTTCATTTGCCTTTTGATTATAAATGATAGCTTTGCTGAGTTGACCAATCCTGGCTGTAGGTCCCTGCTTTTCAGGACTTTGAGTATTTCTTACCAGTCCCTTCTAGCCTGCAAAATTTCTTTTGAGAAATCAGCTGAGTCTTATGGGAACTCCCCTCTAGGTAACTAACTGCCTTTTGCTACTTTTAAGAGTCTCTCTTTATCTTTAACCTTTGGTATTTTAATTCCGATGTCTCTTGGAGTGGGCCTCCTTGCATCCATCTTGTTTGGGACTCTCTGTGCTTCCTGGACCTGAATATCTATTTCCTTCACCAAATTAGGAAAGTTTTCTTTCATTACTTTTTTTTAAAGATTTTATTTATTTATTTTTAGAGAGGGGAAGGGAGGGAGAAAGAGAGGGAGAGAAATATCAATGTGTGGTTGCCCCTCACGAGGCCCCCACTGGGGACCTAGTCTGCAACCCAGGCATGTGCCGTGACTGGGAATCAAGCTGGTGACACTTGGTTCACAGCCCACACTCAATCCACTGAGCTACACCAGCCAGGGCTCTTTCATTACTTTTTCACATAGATTTCTAATACCATGCTCTTTCTCTTGTTCTGGTACCCCTATGATGTGAATGTTGACCTACTGAAGTTGTCCCACAGGGTGCTTACACTATCTTCATTTTTTTGGATTCTTTTTTTTTCTTGTTCTGATTGGTGGGGTTTTTTATTTTGTTTGTTTTGCTGTTGTTGTTGTTGCTTCCTTATGTTCCAAATCACTGATTTGATTCTCAGCTTCATCCACCGTACTGTTGTTTCCTGTAAATTGTTCTTTATTTCAGTTAGTAAATCCTTCGTTTCTGACTGGATTTTTTTTATGCTGTTGAGGTCCTCACTAAGTTCCTTGAACATCCTTATAACCAGTGTTTTGAACTCCATATCTGATAGGTCACTTATACCCATTTCATTTAGCTCTTTTTCTGGAGTTTTGATCTGTTCTTTCATTTGGGCCATGTTTCTTTGCCTCCTCAATTTAGTGGCCTCCCTGTGTTTGCTTCTGTGTATTAGATACAGCTGCTCTGACTCCATCTTAGTAGTGTAGCCTATGTAGAAAAGGCACCTGTAAATTGTGTGGGGCAGAGCCTTAGATAATTGCCAGGGCTGGGCAACCCACTTCACCTCTTTGTGGCTCTGTATGTGGGGTTAAGGGGTTCAGAGAGGGGGCAATGCCACTGCCTGGGATCTGGAGGACTGCCTGGAATTCCACCTGCTTCCAGTCACCTCACCCGCCTCCCATGTGAGATTAGCGCCCTTACAACTGTTGCTCTGGGTTTGTGTACACTGTAAGACCATGCAGGCCCTTTGACAAAAATCCAGCAGTTTCTTCTGCTACTCCAGCCCCCACTGGTTTTTACAGCCAGAGGTAATGGAGGTTTATCTTCCCAGTGCTGGAACCCTGGGCTGTGCAGTCTGGCCTGAGGCTAGAATGGCTCGCTCCCAAGGTATCCCTCCTGGTTTTTATCCACCACACATGAATGTGGGGCCCACCGTCACCACTCCCGCCTCTCCACCCTGTCTCCACAACTCCACCCCTCCTATCTGTCTGGATGAATGTGGCTTCTTTAAATCCTTGGTTGTCTGGCTTCCATACATCTCAGTTTTCTGATGGTTCTGGGTGTTACATGTTTTTGAGATCTCATTGTAATTCTTTCCATAGTTGTGCAAGGAGGTGAAGTGTGTCTACCTATGCCTCCATCTTGACTGGAAGTCTTAATGTTCTTTAATGTAAGTTTATATTGACTTATCTCTTTGAACCTCAATACAAATGTTTTTGTTCATCTGTTTCATAAATTTAAATTTCACCTGGATTGAGTTCTCATTCCAACTGTTAAGTTTATTGGTGTCTTAGTATTAGATTTCTTAGCTGTGCTCTAGAATTTTGGCTATTTGCTCATTTCAAATGGGAGGTTTCTTTTTTCTCCCTTTCTCTCTCCAGCAATACTGCTGGACAACTCCACACAATACAGTGTAAATGGTAACTCCTAGAATTCTGTTAGGCTCTACTCCTTATGCTCACCCATTCCGATTTAGCAGTTTTCAGGTTATCTCCTGCCAGTCCTCCAAGGCCCCAGTTTAGTATCAGTCTTATAAAAGTAGTTTTTAATTACTTACCCAGAAAAATATTGGGGATATAACCAAAACAGTCATGAACTGGTTCCTTGGCTCGACTGATTTGTGGTCAGAATTATACCCCCAAACCCCAACTTCTAATAAAGCTTTAGCCCTACTCAACAACCCAAGAGCCTTTTTCTTTCTCTACCTTTAGCTTTATACAGTAAGCAGTGCTCCTTGTGATTATCTTTTTGCTCCTTATTTTTCTTTTCTTAAAACTGAAAACTGATGAAGTGTGTGTTAGAAAAAATACAGAAAAACTGTGGCTTCAGCTCAACCTGACAGTGTCAAAGAGTCTGTCACTATCAGTCTTGAAATAATCCTGCTGTTCAGACTAATTATCAAAAACAGTCCATTTCTCCTTCCTTTCCTTATTCCAGATCAGGGCCTGAAAGTGGTACTTGTCAAACAGTTCCTAGACATGTCCCATCCATGGAAAGCATACCACAGCAATAGGATGGAACAGACAACAATCACTCCACCCAGGATTAGTGAGTCTAGTCTCTTCCTAAAGTTGATTCACTGGATCAGGCTGTTGTTCACAGCAGGAAAACAATTAGCCAGTGTTCACTGTGCTCTGAATCGATTTCAACATTCCTCTCTGTCAAGTCTTATTTTCTTCTGTTGCCATAGCAATGCTTACTGCCTCTTCTACTAGATGATCTGAGTTTCAAAGGTGATCATATTCTTTCAAAAACAGTTCAGTACTTCTGTTATTTACTCCAGACCCACTTTTATATGACTCAATATCCTTTTGTACTGATTCCATGAGATCCTCCCTTTCCTATATTTCCATAAAATTTGCTTTGGTTTTATAAAATTCATGTGCATAGTCCTGTAGTATAAAGTCTGTCACTGTAATACATGCCTCAGTGCTGCACTCAAGGAGGGAACACCCACACTGTGGATATATTCTCCCATTTTTTCACTTCCTCCTGTAAGCCTTGCCAAAAGCTGGTCAACCTCAATCGCTATTTAAAAGGGGTGTTGTGTCAAGAGCTTTACCTGTCGTGTCTTCCAACTCAGCACTAGTTTCAGATCAAGTTCATTTTCCAGCTGTCCAGCCTATTTCCTGAGATCTTCCCATTAATTGTTTGTCCTTGCGAATATCTTAAGTATGGAATATGCAGTCCACTTTACCACACAAAAGCCAAAATACACTGCCTAACTTAGGACTTTGAGTCCTACAAGCCTACACAATCAACCTCTACATGCCACTTCAGGTTTCTAGTCCATTTCTGGTTTACAAAGGTAGTATTCTTTTTGGACCTTGTTATTTGTTGTTTTCCCTTTTTATATCTCATTCATAATTGTGATGTCTGGAATGGGGGTTGTTTTTAAACTGCAAACTTATAATGCCTCTTTTCTCTCCTCCTCCCAATTTTTATTTATTACACCGACATTAAAGAAAATATATTACACCGAATTCCATCAACTGTTTTGATTCTTCTATGTTCTCTTTTAGTTTCTGCCCATGCATGCACACTTTCATAGTTATGATAATTGTAATATGGTTACAATTTGGTTTTCTTTTCATTGGATATTTCAAATACTTTACAAAGTTTCAAAATTGTCACTCCCTACAGCTCATTCCTAATAGAAACTATACCACATCAAACAAATGAATGGTTACGCTGTTTTGAAAGGGGGAAAAAACCTACTTTCAATTAAAACACAAGTGGGGAAAGGGTTGTGGTTTACCACAGTACTACATAAATGTGCTCACAGTCAGCAATAAATCGACCACAATCTTTAAAGCTTATCTTCAGCTATCTATGCCTTTGTAAATACACCAAATTCTTGCTTCAAAAAATTTTTACCTCATTATTAAATCTTATTCCAAGCAGTATCTCATCAATTACATTATAAATATATCCTATAATGTGTCACTGAAAAAAAGAAATCATTCCTGTTTATATATATGCTAAGTTATTTACCATATACAACATATTACAAACCTACTTCTGTTTCACTCAGGTAGGTCACTAACACTCAAAGGTACAGTGTAATCTCAAATATGAGATCATTCATGAGTGAAGATCAAATGCATTCTTATATTCAACAGTGCTTTGAAACCTCAGAGGAATTATTTTATTATAATTACCTTTTCTATTTCTCTTTGTGTAGCTCCTTCCTTTTTCAAACGTTCTTGTTCTACACACTTGGCATTGTAATTTTCCTTAGATTTCTGGAGGGCCTGAGTTATGCTCTGAATGGTTTGAACAGCTTCCAGAGTTCCTGCAACTTCTTCTTTAGTCTGTTTGGTATGAAATGATTCATCAAAAATGATGAAACTATAGGACAACAATATCTGACCAATCAATCCTTTAACAAGAAAAAGTGATACCTTTTTATGAGACTTTACTTGTTCTTCTCCATACTTCTGAACTTCCTTTATTAATTCTTGTAATTTTCTAACAAGATCCAAGTGACAATTAGCTAATTTCTCTGTAGATGTTTTGAACACATCCCACACTGGTGCAAATGTTCTAAGGGAGAGAAAACATGAAAATAATTTACTTATAAAAAAGTTTAAGGCTCCAAAATAGAACCAGCAAAATTAATGCTATATTCAGCCATTTTAATTAGGCAAAAGATAAAATTAAAATAAATTAAAAATTAAATGACTGATAGACTGATCTTACTTCTTAAATCCTTGGCTAATGAAATATTTCTGGACCTCAGATATACAGAAATAGGTTAACTACTTATCACATGTCTGGCCATGGCCTTCACTTAATTATGTTATTTTCTGAGTCGATTTGGCTATTCAGACTTGTATCAGAAGCATTTCTAATCACTGTCTCCATTCAAAATGCTTCATCAATAATAAAAGTTCCTTTAAATTTAAACATCTAAAAGTTAAAACTTGCACATGACTTTTTTAGTGCCTTCATCCTTAATAATTATACAGAATAATTTTAAAACTGTTATCTAAAACCTTTGGAGGCATTATCATTTTACCTATCTGAGTACTTCAACAAATGCTAAGAGAATCCCCTTTCTACTACATGGAACAGTATGCATGACATACTTTCCTACCACCTTTTCTCATTATTGAGGATTTAATATTTTCAGCAGGTTCAATTACTTCCAAGAATTATTTGCTATACTGTAACAACTTTAGATAGTAAAGGATTCCAATGATTAATTTAAACTAAGTTGGTCAATAGAGAACAACCTAAGAATAATTTTATCCAATACTTTCCTCAGGTGCTTCCTAAAATATGTTCAACAGCACTTGCTTTGTTCTGTGACAAAACTTCTAACAGAAAACAAAACAAATAGCAGCAATAATCACTAAGTCAAAAGGACAGAGAAACCACTTATCCTAATATGTACTCTATGCCAATTATTGCATTTCCTACCCAGTAGGAAAGCTAAAAATGCTCATTTTAAGCAATAGTAAATACATTCAAAAGAGAATTTTAAAAATACTTAGAACTGTCCAGATTAGATCTCACTTCACACTTTAAAATCTCTCATCAGCTCCAAATCTGGCACACAGTTAGACGGAAACTTTTGAGAGAAAAAGGACACGTAAAATGTATCCACTTGCTACAGCACTAAGTGATGTACAGACTTGTATCTCACTTCATGTAAACCTGATACATGATAGTCTAGACTTCACAAAGCAGATAAGAGAGGAGTGTCCCTTTACTTTACCAAAGGATTCTTTATAGTGAAAAGCGGTTCAACGTAAAACTTCTTTAACTACAGGTTTAAGAAATTTCAAATATCATTTCATTTACAAAAGTTTAATACATACAACTTTTTTATAGCCAAGTAATACACATGTATGTATAATAAATGTTTATTAAGAAAGAAAACAGACAAATACAAAATATATTTAAATGCAACTAAATACAGAAAGATAAAATTCAGATTCTTGCCTAAATATGCAGCAGTAAACAAAAAAATATTAATATTTAAAATCTCTGTGATCTTGAAATGACATTAACACAAAAAAATAAAACATCACCTATTATTTCTGAAAAGCACACATTCCAAAGACAGAAATGCTGTCAGTAACTTTACTATCAGGAAACACAGCTAAAGTCAACTTGTGTTTTTTCTATCTCCCATTTGGTGATTAAAAATAGGTTAGAATTTCCTACAATACACCATGGCCAGCCCTGATTGGTGTGGTTCAGTTGGTTGGGCATCATCCGGCAAAGCAAAGAAGGTCGCTGGTTGGATCCCTGGTCAGGGCACATGCCTGGGTTGCTGGCCTTGTGAGAGGCGACTGATTGATGTTTCTCTCACACATCGATGTTTTTCTCCCTCTCTTTCTCCCTCCCTTTCCCCTGTCTCTGAAAACAAATAAATAAAATCTTTTTTTTCTACTTATTTTCTGACCCTTCCACTGCGGTTAATAAAGAAGAAATTATGTTTTAGAAGAGGCATGTTCAAATAGAGGGTCCAAAAATAGAAGGGTACCAGAAAAGTAAGGCGAGAGATGAAAAAAAGAATAATGAAGTTATATTGAGAGAGTAGAGGGGAAAGAACTGGAGAAGGACTGGGAGGAAAGAAACAAAAAGTAACTAAATACCAGTCCCTGCTCTCCTCATCAGAAAAAGGCGATAGCTCCCAGTCCTTCCCAGCCAGTGCACATGGTTACAAAAGGTTCTGTTAGCTGTGGCTGTCAGCACTTACACAATGGACAGTGTTGCTACCCTGTGAATGAACTGAGAGTCCAATTCCTCTTTATCCAGGCCACAAAGCAGAAAGACTTTTATTTAAACTCACTCAACGCAACTAGAGAGTACTTTCATAAAGTCATTCTTAAACAGTTTTTTGAATCACAAAACCATGTCAATCTGATAGCTGGTATAGACCCTCTTTATCAGAAATGAGTTAATAACACATACACAAAATTTCACATAAAGTTTCAGGGGATTCAGAGATTTATCAGAAACCCATAAGAAGATGAATCTTTTACTAAATATCACTATAAAAATCTTTATGTGTTAGACACATTATTTTCACATCTGAGCTAAAATAAAACCTCTCCCCCAAATTTTAGATAATTAAATCAGATGAAGTATTCCTTCCATAGTTATTATGGTTCAAATTATATAATTATTCTTCCCAGAATTGTTATGGCTACAAGCAAATGTCATTTTAAATATATTCTTATTAGTATTTATTTTCTGAAGAGTGCATTTCTTCAACACAAATTCTTTAAAAGATTTAATGATGGTCTATAAAAATCAAGAGACATTTTAAATGCATTTTAGCATTTTAATAGTTTGAGTTTTTAAAGATCATTGTTCCACAGTATTTAAATTAACCTACAGAAAATTTGAATATCATGCATTACACATATTTATAATCTCCAAATTACACTACTGAATATGTTGTTTAATAAAAGGGAAAAAAATAAGTTTCACATGTTCTGACTGCTTTAATTCAGCAAGTTCAATTACATTTTCAAGCAAGTCAAGAATATAGTCACAGATACATTTTAAATAAGTACATTATTATATATTTTACATTTATGAGTTATTATATCCTCAATAAAACCTAATATTCTGAAGAACGTTGCCAGATAAACACTGAAAAAGAGTTCACCAAAGAAATGAACTCACCCAAGTTGTGAATAATTGCTTGCAGATTTTGCTAGTTTTGTCATTGACCTGGAGTACGCCTCTTCTATTGTAGCTCTGTTAAATGAAATTTCCGTGTTATAGTATCTCTTGTTTAATAACCAAACACATAGGAAAGTTATGAAAATACAATTAAAACTGTAGAAACAAAAAGATAACTCCAATTACACATTAAAAATAGGCAGGTATGTTGGTCATGAATTTCTGGCCTATCTTTAGATGTCCTTTGTGCACATCTACTTAAAGAACTAGTCTGGTACAGAACTAAAATAATTTATATCACCAAGAAACTTATATGAAGTCACCACTCTTTTATTTTTAGTACCAAAGATTATTTAAACAGAAAACAAGAGTGCTGCTTCTTGTATTCTCGCTCTCTCTATAAACTGATTCAGTGAAAAATCATTTATGTTTAACAGTATATATAATATAGTTTGATTATTCTTCAACATTGTGATTTCATTATTACATACATTTGATAGAACAAGAGACTGATAACAGTCTTTTGTATAATACTAAATATGAATTATTAGCAAGTCTGAAATCCTGAACTTCAGGGCTTAATATATTTTGTGATTAGATCTAAAATAATAATAAATATGTCACACTAGAATGCTGTTTCTTATATAACTACTATTTACCTTATAGGATTTCAGGCTTTAAAAGAAGTATCAACCAAAGTCATTAAGTATAGGATAAAAAAAAATTTTCCTGTAAACACATAACATACAAAATATGAGGCTATCCTGGCCTTCACACTATAAAACTTAAGTTCTATCTTACCTCTCCTTTATTACCCTGTCACTTCTGAATCTGTGCTACCCTTAGCAGTGTAACAGGTCCACAACCACCAATGCCCTTCCATTTACTTTGATAGGTTCAACAAACTTACTACTTTCAATGTCCAAATCCAGATCTCCACACTGCTCTCAGTTTGTTTAATATCTAAATGTCTCAAGCACAACTCTACTTAGGTATCTTAATCACCTCAAACTCAGATTATCTAAACTAAGCTTATCTCCAAATTCTCTTCCCACCCCGTATCTATAACCCACTCTCTAAGGAAAAGGAACCATTAAAAGGATATGCCACTCACTGCGGGAACTGTGACTTTTTCTGCTCCTTTAAATTTTTTTGTCTTTTTAGTATAGTAAATTACAAAGGTGGTACTAGGATAATCTAAAAAACTAGTACAGAAATATTAATATCTCAATGGGTAAGTTTTAACGGCAAGACAAAAAGGGATTCAATTTCCAGTAATAGTGATCTGATAGAAAAACCTCCCAATGAGGAAAACTAGAAAAGCACTGGGCGGGGGGGGGAGGCAGTGACTAAAAGGCATCTGAGAACTAGAACTAAAGAGGTAGTTAAGAATCAGTAGGCCAAGATCCCAGAGAAGAATGTCCAGAGAAGTGAGTCAGATATGTAGGGCAGCTTTTCCCTTGAGGGCATGGAGAAGAGGTAGCTAAGACTGAGAAGTGGAGCAGAGCTTTTCACAGCCTCGAAGGGTAGGAGACAAAATTATAGATTCAGACCTGCCAAAGGTTTTTGGAAGCATGGGAAACTCCATGCCCTTTAAAGTTGAGACTCCAAGACTAAGGATGAACAATCAACAGGCGAACCTTCAAAGGGACTGCAACCCATCTCTTTTCAAATCCTGTTACTGTATTCTATGTGCATGCCTTATACACATTTGTGTAGCACCACCAGGCACATGAGGAGACAAGACACAATGAAGAAAAATCAACAGGAACAAATTAGCAATGTTTCAAAAGTTGAGATTATAAAACCTAGACCTGATGAGTTTATATATTATGTTCAAGGAGATGGCTGATTAAATCAAGAATTTCTTAAAGAGAACTAGAAATCATTTTTTAAAAGTGGAGGACAACACAGGAAATTTGACAAAAAAACAAACAAATTCTATATGTGAAAAACACAGAAGTTAACATCTCAATGGGTAAGTTTTACCAGCAGACTGAATACACTGCAGTGAGAATTAGTAAAGTGGAAGAGAGGTAAGAAGAATCTCTTGAAATAAAGCTCAAAGAGACCAAGCATGGAAAAGAAAAGAGAAATAAAGGACTAAGGACAAAGCAAAAAATTCCGACATATATGTGCAAAAAGAAAACAAGTGGGTCAGAAAAACTATTACAGAGATAAAAATGGAGTATTTTCCAAAACTGACAAAAGATACCAAACTAGAGATCCAAGTAGCCCAACAAACCTTAAGAGGATAAATAACAAGATAACTACACCTAGTCATACCATAGTAAAACTGCTGAAAATCAAAGACATTAAAGCAAACTACGAAACTATAAAACTCTTAGAAAATAACACAGGAGAAAACTTGGCTGACGTTGGTTATAGTGATGGTCTTTTTAGATACAATGCCAAAGACCCAACCTACAAAAAAAAAAATTCTTAAACTGGACTTCATTAAAATGTAAATTTCTACTCTACGAAAGAAAATGTCAAGAAAATGAGAAGACAAGTCAGTGACTGAGAAAAGCTATTTGCAAAAGACACACCTGGAAAAAGAACTGTTATCGCAAATATACAAAGAACTCTTAAAACTCAACAATAGGAAAACAGCTTAATACTCCCCTGTTCAAAGAAGGAAACCTTACCTTTTGTGACAACATGAGTGGACCTGGACATTATTATGCTAAGTGCAATTATTAAGCCAGTCAAACAGAGAACGACAAATACCATATGATTTCACTTATATGTGGTATCTAATGAACAAAATAAACTTGACGAACAAAACAGAAACAGAGGCATGGATACATGGAACACACTGACAGATGTTGGGAGGAGGAGAGATGGAGTGACAGAATGAAAGAAGGTGAATGGATTAGCTAAAGAACATATGTGCACAACTCACAGACACACAAAACAGTGTGGTGATGGCTAGAGGGAGAAGGGGCTAGGGCTGAGTGGAGGTGGACAAAAGGGGAGGGAGAAAGGGGACAGCTGTAATAATGTGAACAATAAAAATAAAGTTAAAAAATAAAAATAAATAAAATATTTTAAAAAGAAAACAGACTAATATAAAAAAAATGAACCAAAGATCTTAACAGACACCTCTCCAAAAAAAGATAAACAGATGGCAAAGAAGCATGCAAAAAGATGTTCCACATCATATGTCATCAGGAAAATGTGAATTAAAATAAAGAGATACCACTAAATACTTATTAAAATGGCTAAAGTTTGAAACCCTGGTAACACCAAATACTGGCAAGGATGTGGAACAAAAAGAACTCTCATTCATTACTGGTGGGCATTCAAAATGATACAGCCACTAGAGAAGGTAGTTTTCGCAGTTTTTTACAATACTGAACATACACTTACCCCAAGCAACTGTGTTCCTTGGTATCTATCCAAAGGAGCTGAAAACTTATGTATACACAATAACCTACACATGGATGTTTACAGCAGCTTTATACACAATGGTCAAAACTTAGAAACAACCAAGATGTCTTTCATTAGGTGAATGAATAAACAAACTGTGGTAAATTCACACAAAATGAGCTATAAGCCAGAAAAGACATGGAGGAACCTTACATACATATTACTAAGTAAAAAAAGCCAATCTAAAAAGGTTATTACATACTGTATGATTCCAACTATATGATATTCTGGAAAAGGCAAAACTATGAAAACAATAAAATAGAACACAGAGGATTCTTAGGACAGTCAAAATACTCTGCATGACATTATAATGACAGATACATGCCATCACACATTTGTCCAACCAGTAGAATACACAATACTAAGAGTGAACCCCAAGGGAAACTCTGGTCTCTTGGTAATTATTACATGTCAATAAAGGTTCATCCTGGTTTAAAAAAATACCATTCTAGTTTGTAATGCTGATAATAGAGGAGGCTATTGCATGCATGGGGGAGGGGGCATACAGGAAATCTCTGTATCTTCCTCTCAATTTTGTTGCAAACATAAAAGTGCTCTAAAAAAATAGTTTTTTTTAAGTCTACCAACCAAAATTTTATACCCAGCAAAAATATAAATGGAAGTAAACCCCTAATGAAATAATGGACTTAGGTGATCATCAATGGCTATTATCACAAAACAGATACAACCACATTTTATATGCCTCCTAAGGAAGTACACACCACCACCTAGTAAGTAGTCTTGTCAAAACACAGAACTGACTGTGATCATCACACTGCTAGATTTAAGTGACAATTTAGGAGAAATATAGGGGTAAAGGAAAATGCTGAATAGAAGTACAAATGTACAATTAGTATATTCTAGGATGTAGGACCCGCTACAGAACAAATAATCTAGTTTCCTCAACAAAAACAAAAGTTAAAGATCAGCTAGGGAGATCTACAAATTAAGAGATTCAAAAATCATACCAACCAAAGAAAATGTGTAAGTCTCGCTGGGATCCATACTGGAGGAAATCAACTACATGTACTCTGTGTATATATGACAATCAGGGAACATTGAGCATTGACTAGGTATTTGGTGATACTAAGGAATTAATACAGTATTTTTATCATGTTATGGCAATAGTTTTTTAAAAAAGCCCTTACTTTCTTATAGATACCTGTGAAATGCTAATGGATAAAATGTAATTTTTCTGAATCTAAGATTTGCTTCAAAATTCAGTAACAGTGACAGAGGATAGAGAGAACAAGACTGGCCATGGCTTGGTAACTGCTGAACCTCAGTGGTTGCAACATGGGGGTTCATTGTATTAAATTCACAACTCCTGTATGAGTTTTATATATGTTTGAAATTATCCATAAAAGTATAATAAAAAGTTTTCTAAATGAAAATAAAGATATGATCAGACTAACAAAAACTGAGAATTCATCACCAGGAAATACACACTAAAGAGAATATAAAAAAGATGTTTTTAAAACAGAAGAAAAATGATCTAGGACAATATATCAGGAAAAAAGTAAATAACTTTAATAAATCTAAATAATAACTATACAAAATACTAAGAACATAGAAGAATAAAATACATAACAACCTGAAAACAAATCAGCTGGATTAGATATTAGAATACTTTTTTAATAATT